GATATCAAGGATATACAAAGCACTGGTTGAACTCCACAAGAAGAAAACACCCAACCCCATAACAAATGGAGTGATGAAATGAACAGAAACTTTTTCGAAGAAGAAATCTGAATGGCTAAAAAGTACATGAGAAAATGCTCTTCATCACTAATCATCAGGGAGATGCAGGTCAAAATCACAATGAGATATCATCTCAAACCACAGAGACTGGCCCACATCCGAAAGAACCAAAGCAACCTGTGTTGGCGCAGCTGTGGTGAGAAAGGGATCCTCCTTCACTGCTGGTGTGAATGCTGACTGGTTCAGCCCTTTTGGAAAACAGTATAGACTATTCTCAAAAACTTAGAAATTGAGCTCCCATTTGACCCAACAATACCACTCCCTGGGAATATATCCTGGAGAGGCAAAGAAGTATAGTCAAAATGACATCTGCACTTGTATGTTCATTGCTGCACTCTTCATAATACTCAAAAATTGGAAAAAAACCGAGTGCCCGAGAACAGATGACTGGTTAAAGAAGCTTTGGTATGTCTACACAATGGAATACTATGCAGCTGTTAGAAAAGATGAAGTCATTAAATTTACATACAAGTGGTTCCACATGCAAAGTATCATGCTAAGTGAAATGAGTCCAAAAGACAGGGATAGATGTAGAAAGACTGCATTCATCTGGGGAATATAAAGTAACAGAATGGGATATGAACACCCATGAAGAGCTTAGATAAGTACTAGGAGGGCTGCTCCACAGCTTGGACACCGGCAGCAGATGCTTGGGGGCAGCACAGCTTAGATACAGAAGGGAACACCAAGTAAAGGGTGTTTGGAGGATTTGCTCGGAATGCGAGATGCACACTGAAAGTCAACTATAGACCAAACAGGATGGCCACTCAATGCCTCTATTGCAAATCACAACACCCTAAAGGAAAGAGAGAGCAAAAGCGAGTGTCTTACCCCAGAGGAGCAGTGGAGTGGGAGAGGATGTGTTGCAGGGGTTGGAAGGGCTACTGGGTTCATTGGTAGTGGAGAATGGGCAGTGGTGGAGGGATGGGTACTCAATTATTGTATAACTGAAATCCAAGCATGAAAATTTGTAAGTCTACTACTGTACCTCCTGGTGTTTCACTATTAAAAAATAATAAATAAAGCATATCTCTTAGAAAATATCTAAACTAAGTAAAAAAAATAAGTTGGTCAATCTAAAACATTTGAGCGTAAAGTTTTTGTAATATTTAAAAAAAAATAGAGGGGTTAGAGAGTACAGGGATTATGGCTATTGCCTTGCATGTTGCTAATCTGATTCATACTCAGCACAATATATATAGTCCCCTGAGTACCTCCAGGAATTGAGCAAAAAGCCAGGAGTAATCCCCAATCGGATATTTCCCCCATTCTCCCAAAAACAACCAGTTTTGTAGTGGAAATATTACACCAAGGTCTCGTGTATAATCTAGGGAGGAGGCAGAGAAAGGATTGTTTTATTTTTTATTTTATTTTTGTGTAGCGTCACACACAGCAATGCTGAGGGCTTAGCTCCTGAATCAGTATTCAGGAATCATTCTTCACAGACTCAGGGGACCACATAGGGTTCTTGAAATCAAACCCAGGTCAGCCATGTGCAAAGCAAGTGCCCTACCCACTGTACTATCGCTGTTGCCAAGAGGCTTGCTTTTAAAAGAATCAAGGTCAAAGAATTAACTGCCATCCAGGTGTTGGGTGGGTCATCATTTTAAATCACCCAAGGTAAGGGCTAGCTTTGAAATAGAGTTGAAAACCATAACTTGGTGCCAGAGGCTTTGATAAGTTGAGGAAAGTGACCAGAAGGTCACAAGTAACAGAACTGATCATAGTTACCATGATTCTTTAGATCTTATGTAATTTCTCTGTGAGGAATTCCATTATTTAAAGGTCAGTGCTGATAGCTGTTACAACTGAAGATGATTATAGTATTTATTAGCATTGTACAGCTCTATAATTTTTTGATTTGCATATTTCTTAAATGTCATAAAGTAAAAGAAAATTTTTACAGGAAAAAAAGTGACAAAGGTAAGGCACAGTGGCACATCTCAAAATCTCTTTCAGGTGGGTAAATTTTAAATGAAGATCATAAGATGTGTTATGTAGGGGCTGGGGATCACCAACGGCTGCCCTTGTTGAGTCAGATGTGGTGTCACCATGACTATATTTAAGGAAGAATTGTTTTGAAGTGGTGGAATCTAAGAGAATGAAGAAACCCAGAAAAGCAGAGTATGGGTTAACTACTGTAGTATCCAGGGTGAAGAGAATCAGACCTCCATTGATTTTAAGGAGGAAATAAAAGAGGTTGTATGGAGTATTTCAGTGACTAATATCTTTAGGACTCAGTTACTAGCACTGGAAAAAGTGATGTTTGTTTTTGTTGGGGGTCCATACCTGGAAATGCTTAGGGCTTACTCCTGGAATTTTATTCCTTCCTGGTAGACTCCCTAGGCAAGCAGTGTCCTGCTGTGCTATCTCTTGATTCCCCCTCCACAGAAAAGGCTTTCTGTGAACTTGTGATCATAAATGGTCATCCTTCACTTTTTTCTTTTTCTTTGTACTCCATGTTTTCTCTTACCGTTTTTGGCATATTGAATACTCCATGGGGAGCTTTCCAGGCTCTGTCTACAGGCAGGATACTTTTGGTAGCTTACTGGGCTCTTCGAGAGTGATGGAGGAATCGAACCCAGGTCAGCCCTATGCAAGGCAAACACCCTACTTGCTGTGCTATCACTCCAGCCGTTCTCTTTATTTGCTGTAACCTTTTTCAATAATTTCTTGCTTTTCACAGCTTACTTCTAAGGACGTTGTCCACTCAGGTTCTCACTAAGAAGCTATAATCCTCTTCCCCAAATATTCTGCTCTTTCCTGGAAAATATTCTTTTTGCTTGATTCACTTCCTATGTTACTAAATCCCTGAGGCATTCCTTATTCTATTGTCCTTGTCTTGTATATGGCTAGCTATATGTTAATCTCCTATCTCAGTAATAATTCGTTTAACAAAATAGCTAATAATTTATTCAGTTTTTCAAATTTATTTTTTTAACGTTGAGGCATGCATTTAAGGAAAATGAATGGCATGTAGCAATTAAAAATAAATCTACAGTCCCTAATAGCATAATGGAGAAAAACATTTCTAGAACATATACATATTTTTCATATGTTACTGGCTTCTTTTCTCTCATCAGAGTAATCAGGCAGAAATTGCTTGCTTTTCTAATACATTTTTTAACAAGAAATTTAATCAGAAAAAACAACTTTTTGTCATGAAAATATATACAAACACATCTTTGTTGCTCCTTTATGTCATACATTTTCTTTTAAAACTACAGAAATTTGAACCATTAAGATAAACTTTTGGAATATGTAAGTGTGGAATATTTTTGGAATATCCAGTAAAAAAATACATCATTTAAGTGTAAAAATTGTTCTGTCTCAGGCATGTCAATGGTTTGGTTTGTTTTTTGCTGGCTTGAGAGAATGCTCAGAAGTAGTGCTCAGAGGATTTGGGGCACTATAAGTCAAGTGGCCAGGATGGTTTAGTGCTAGGGTCTTGACTACTCAGTGTTGCTTAGACTTACTGGTGCCGAGAGCCACCATGGCCACCCATAATGCGCAGGGTTGTTGTATGGGTGCCAGCAACAAACTAGGATCTTGAGCCCTGACCTCTGAACTATCTCCCCACTCCATGTTTATGGCTAAAGAAGCAGGTAAAGAGAAAGAAGGGATTATTTAGGAATTCGAGAATGACATGTATTTAATGGATGCTTCTGAAAAAGGAATTACCGGAGGTCAGGCAAGAAGGAGGTGACATGGAAGAATGCAGTGATGAAATACCCAGGAGGGAAATCTTCACATCCAAAGACAGAAAGCAGATTCATAGTTGCCAGTGGCTGGGACATTTGGGAGTGACTGTTAATGTATACAGTTTCTTTGGGAGATGATTAAAATGTTCTCGAGTCAGTAGTGATGGTTGCATAAATTTATAGCTATAATTTTTAAAACCACTAAATTATATACTTTAATAAAAATAAGTAAGGATGAAAGAAAGAAACTCCAAAAGGGAAAGGATATTCAAACACACGAAACTAGACAAGCGTATCTAATACCAGAGAAGAGGACTACTGATTAAAGGGTCTTCGAATCTGGTGATTAGGAAGTCAGAACTGAGCTAAAAGAGGAGTCTCCGCAAAGTAGTCATATTCATCTCTTCTTTCTGCTCCATAAACATATAACTTAAGATTGTTCCTTCCCATATTTTTATCTTTTTGGCAGAATGTGTGATGATTCTGCAAGTTCCGGCATGTGGTTTACATAAACTAAAGTGACATTCTTGATGAGTTTTACAAATTCTGAGTATGTATACTTATGCCTACAGGAACTAAGTCTGAGTATATCATTTTTCTGCCCTTCTAAAGCCAAATGCACATTTCGTAATCAGTCAGTTCATGTTGTTCTAACCTCAAATATCATTTTTGGGGGCCCTAAATGATGCAGGCATGACCTTTGAATTCCTATAGTAAGTTTCAACAGTGTGATTATTTGGCAAGTCGCTAGCCCTGCCTGTGTCAGCGCCCTGATGGAATACTGCTGGCCTTGTGACCCTGGGTCAACCATATGTTTTTTTCTGAGCCATATTTACTTAATTTGAAAATCAGGGGTCATAAATCTTAATCTGAGCATCCCTTGTAAGTAAATTTTGTGAAAATGCTGTGAAAACCATTAAATAAATAGGCATGTATATTTTGATCCTTATTGTTGTAGAATAAAAATAAAATACTCTATTGTTGTTTCAATATTTATTATTGTCTGGTATAAGACATGTGTGTAAGATCACAGTTTTAAAATATACCTTATTAAGGTGTGCCTTGACCAGTACAACTGATTGAATTTAACATTGCTTAAATGAGGTAAATGGTTTATGCTATGGTTGAATGTTTTGCTGTGTTATTGCTATTAATTGTTCTATGCTGCCTTTCTCTTAGGTTTCCCGAATGAGCCTGCTGCTGTCATTGCTCTCGGCACCATTAAAGAATGGCTGGCCAAGAATCACCAGCAGGTAGGGAGAACAACATAGCCATTGGACTTTAAAGATGGTGCAATTTGATACTCATTTCAAAGAGCAGATAAATCTGTTCCCTAAACATCAAATAGGCATTGCCATTAAGTCACAGCTACCTAATCACTCTTCACTTTGGTTTCATGGGTAATTATATCATTTTCTTGTAATCAGTTGAATTAAGGGAGTATATTAATCGGTTTTGGTGGTAAAGATATACACAGGTATATAACTAACTTAGCCTCGATTAGCATCTATGTAATTTTGACAATATGTTGTGTATGTTAAATTTGAAACTGGATGTATTTCATTAATATCCAGGTATTGCCCTATGCTATTTTCTTAAAGAGGTAAATTACATTTGTTGTCAGGAAATTTATGGCATACAGCATTGTTTTTGAAATCCAAACTCATGTAACTAATAACCTTCTTAAAGTGTGGGCTTAGAGTAGACTCGGATAATAAATAGAAGAATCATAATTTCCAAATTCTTAAAAACAAATCTGAAAGCTACCACTACCATATTATTCTTTGTACTTTCTATTTTCTTGGCTAATAAAATACTTTGGATATGGTTAAGGTTGAAAAGGAAAATATCTCAAGTAAACAAAGCAAAATAATAACAAGAGACATTACAGAGACTTAGATTTCAGTCTGGCAGTTTACATATTATAAGAGCAAATTGGTTTCATATCATGCACATCTTTACTTATATTTTCTCTAATTTTGTTTTTAACTTAGATATTTATGTATTAGGATAAAGTCATGAATTATATTATGGGCTATAAATTTAGCTTTCTCCTTGTGTAGGTGTTGTATTATTTGAAAATGTTTAAGTATGTATGTAAACAAGGTATAGGAATTTTCCCAGATTTTGGTGTGTGTGTGTGAGAGAGAGAGAGGGAGAGAGAAGGAGAGAGAGAGAGAGAGAGAGACAGAGACAGAGACAGAGACAGGGACAGAGACAGAGATGCTGGAGATTGAAATCAGGAGCTCACACATGCAAAGCAAGCATTCTACTACTGAGCTGTACTGTGTTCAGCTCTTGATATTTGAACATGTTTAAAGAAACTGTAGTGTCATTTTCTGCTAATTACTGCAAGCTTAACATTTCTGAAGCAAGTATGGACATCATTAATGTCCAGATATAAGGGTCAGGCGGATACGCATTGATTTTGGTACTTCCTTTTCTGTTTCTACTTACTTTTAAAGAAATACATACAACAACTTCAATTTATAAGATATCAATAGTAACTGCTAAAAAAAGTAGAATTAACAATGCAAATATTCAATTTACAAACATGCTTTCTGCATACATTACATTATCATTATGATATTCTATTCAAGTGCCCTGGATTGGTGTTGCTAATAATTATAACATCCAGAATTAACAGGGATATGCTCCACACTGAATAGTTACAGAATCATCTCTCCTGTTGACCTTCCAGATTCTCTCAGCCATTCCTCCTTGGAATGATCCTGGTGCAAGGGGAAGAAGCTTAGTCCATTGGAGACTAATGTCTTTAATACACCTCTTTTAGTCATAATAAATTCTCTTCACTGGGAGTAGATGAATTTCCAAAATAGTGTCATGAGTAGAAGTTGGTAATTGATTTACTATGTTCATACAGATTCATCATTCCCATTAAATTAATAATCCATAGAGTTCTCTACTGATAAAAGTGCATATGTGTTATCCTGTTATGTGATGGAAGTGCATAAGATTTTACAAATTGTCAAGGAGGTGATGAAAAATGAATGTGGTGGTTTTATTTATATTTCAGTGATGAATTCTAATTGGTGATTGTCTATAATGCAGTAGTTTTCTGGGTTATCTGCTTTCAAACACTTTCCTTTTTCTGCCACCTGCTCCCATCCTGTCGGGTTATCATGCTGCGACTCACCATTCATGTGATTTTTTTTCTTGTGTCCTTTCTTGGAATATCCTGAGGGCCATATTAGTCCTGGTTGAGATGTGCTGTTCTCATAAACTATTCAGAAAATTATGTTCTATAAACAATTTTTAGTTTAATGTTTTCCACATAATGTGCTCTGACTTTATGTTTGCCTCTTTGTGTCTGTTCTTTTGCCTTTGTACCGCCCTCTATTTTGCTCTTAAAAATTCTTTATAAAAAATTAGTGAAATTGAACTGAGAAAAACACTTACCTGTTGTCATTGAAGCTTCAAATATGTCGAGAAAGATTCCCTTTATTTTTTATTTTATTATTTGTTTACGATTTTTATATGTTTTATTTTCACAAAGTAGCTCACAATAGTTCATTACAGATAGTATTCAAACACCCACCCAATTAGTGAACATCTTCCCGCCACAATAAGAGGGAAGAATGTGAAGGTTGTTGATTGCTACCTTTAAAAAGACTGTAGTTCAATGTGCATTGGCATACTTAAGTAAGTTTAAAAAAACTATATGAATTTGTCATCCGGAAGTATTTTGGGTTTATATTTACTATTTCAAAAGCAAGTAAATGTAGGGAAGAAGAGAATTAGGACTTAAGTTGCTTGCCTTGCCCGAGCCTGGTATTTCTGGTACAACATAATCCCTTGGGTGAGTGATCTCTGAGCACAGAGCCAGGGATAAGCCATGTTTTGGGGGTAAAAGAAAAAATATTAAATATCAAAAATTAAAAGTCTATGTAAAAACTTGCTTTTTTGTTCATCATCCCTTCATCGCAGTATTATTTTTGAATCCTAATTGTTAGAGTTATTTATCTGCAAATATACTCTCATTTGTTGACTGTTCATCAAGCCCTGCTAAGCACTGGAAAGTTTTCTAGATATGGGTGACAGAACACTGGAAAACAAAATTCTTTTCTTATGGTGTTCAGTCCAGAAAAATAGAAACACAAATTAACCAAGGAAATAAGTTAGTTCAAAGTAGATTTTATTAATTAGGTGTGTGTGTGTGTGTGTGTGTATGCATCTGTGTGTGTGTGTGTGTGTGTGTGTGATTAAAGGGGCATAGAGGTAGAACAGAGGCTAAGGCACTTGTTACCCGTCCTATATGCAGCCCACCTCGGCATGATCCCCAGCACCCTATAAGGTCCCTAGCTACCACCAGAAGTGGTTTCTGAGCACAAAGTCAGGAGAAATCCATAAGCACTAATAAGTGTGGTCCAGCCCTTCTGCTTCCTCCCTCCCCACAAAAAAAAAAAAAGAGAAAAAAGCAGCATAGTTGGATATTGAGTTATTTGTTGGTGTGGTTTTTTACGGAGAACACTCAGGAAATTTCTGGGAGAGAAAAATTTGTATGATGGGAGAGAATAGTTCAAATCACACAGAGTACACAGAGGTCTCTGGATATTCCTACACAGCAAACAGCGAAAGAAAAAAACAGGGGGAAAGCAAGGTTACTGTTTTTCAAGTAACATTAAGGAAACAGTATGCTTGGAACAAAGAGATCAGAGAAAGACAGAAGACAAATCTGAACAAATCAGCAGGGGTATCATAAACTGATAGTGGTGTGGTTTCTGAGAGTTTGGAATGGATAGTTGCAAGAAAAGATTTGCCATTATAAAAACTACAACTTTGCATGTTGTGTGGAAAATGGACTTGAGATGTCAGAGAAGAAAAGGAAGTACTGGGGCTGGAGTGATAGTACAGCGGGTAGGGCATTTGCTTTGCACGTGACCGACTCGGGTTTGATTTCCAGCATCCCATATGGTCTCCTGATCACCGCTAGGAGTAATTCCTGAGTGCATGAGCCAGGAGTAACCCCTGAGCATCGCCGGGTGTGACTCAAGTAGAAAAAAAGAAAAAGGAAGGATTTATCAATAAGCTCTTACACTATATAGAGGCTAATGATTAATCTTAGGGGAAAAGAGATAATAGGATTAAGTTTGAAATATATACCAAATCTGTTTCATTTTTGGAGTATAAACTAAACCAAAGGTTTGACAATAAAGTCAATAAGATTTGGGAATTATCATCAATTAGGATAGACTAGTTTATGCTGCATATACAACAACCTACGAAACCTTAGTGTAAAAAGCTGAGATTTAAATTTTGCTCACAGTTTTTATTTCTTGAGGCAATGGAAGAATGTGGATTAGGGAGAAACACAAGCTGACCAATTCTGTATAACATGAATATCAACTATCACAGGACTAGAAAAGATAGAAAATCCAGTTATAGCTCTGAAATGCTTTTTCAAGGGAATTTTGCACAAAACACCCCTCATATTTCTTTGTCCAGATAAATATACTCAGGAGACTAGGAACTGGCGATCCTTTTACATATCTAAAGTAGACGCAACCGCAAATCTATGATATCATAGCAATAATCAGATGTGGTCTCTGAGGAAAATAGATAAACAGAATAGCAATTTGGTTTTGACCTGATCCCCTGAGTAAATTTTGGTGCCCTGATGAGAAGTTTGTAGATAAAAATGCTTGTGAGAATAGCATAAAGGAAACCAGAAGTTTCAGTCATTAATACTGAGGTAATTATAGTTCTATAGTACATATACAGACATATGATGATAATTTTCAGTAGAGTGGACTACTTGAACCGGAAGTTTAGGAAAACAGTTTGAAAGTTTAGGAAAAAAGTTTGAAAGAAACTTTTTTATAAGCTATAATAAACTTGATTGCATATCATGTTGAACTCAATTTTGGGTGATAATTCAAATTTGGCTTGCAAATCTTAGTCTCAAAGATAGTTAATCTGAAGGAAAGTGCAATACATATGATAAACAAAACAAAATGAAAACAAAAACCACCAGATCCTGATATTCAAAGACTGGAGCTAGAGAGCAGCGTCTTATGAATAATTGCAAACCAATCTGAGAAGAAAATAGTTTATTTTACCTTAATTTCAAAATATCTTTCTCTGACTTGCTCTTATTTCTGATGCATTTATCAGTCTTTTTAGCATGATGTCTACTCTGCTTTGTTATTTGTTTAATAGAAACCTGTCATGATTGTGTCAGCTTATTTATTTGTCAGTCAGTACTGCTTGAGGTAACTTTCTGGCATCTCAA